GACATCCAGAGGGCACTGGCAATTACTGTAACCAAGTAAAACAGTACTGAGCATTTAATATTTATAAGAGAAGTGTAGAGCATTCTACTGAGAAGTTGTTCAAAGAGACTAAAGGTCCCTGGGCCCTAGAGTAGGTCATATTTTGCCGTAGATCTCACTGAGCCTTTTCTCCCTGGGAAATGTTGGAATGAATGAATCCACCCCCATCCATATTTTGCTGAAGATCTTGGGACTCTTCAGTTGTCTCTGTACTTGGTTTCAGAGTGTGGTGTGTGGAACCCCTGGCAGTATCTCAGAGGCCTACTTGGAGAGTCCTGTAGGTTATGTAGACTGTCTTCCTCTTCTCTTCTTTTCCTTCTTCTCCTTGTCTTCCTACCCTTCCCCCATCCTCCTTGTCCTCATCCTCTTTTTCACCTTGGACTTTCTAGCTTTTGAAGTGACTCCCTAGCTTATACAAGTTAAACATTTCGACTCTTAAGATATGAGGCTCTCCCATAGATTTTTTTTTCTCAAGGTTCTCAAGCAAAATTGCCGGTGCCACAATGTTATGATGGAAGGATGCTGAAATGACAGGCCTAGTAGACGCTTGTCTTAATCATCGGCTTCTTAATTTAGTTTTAGAGCTTTGTATGCGTGTGTGTGTGTGTGTGTGTGTGTGTGTACACACGCGCGCATGTGCGCGCCCCCGGGGGACGGTGAGTGAGTGTGTGTGTATGTGTGTGTGCATGCGTGAGCACAAGAGCGCCTGCGTGCGTTGAGAGCAGCCACTGACAACCTGCAGCTCCCTAATGAGTGACGAGGCAGGGCTGCTGCAGAAAGTAACACTTCCCTGGTGTGAAGACCTCTTACTGGGAAGTTTAGTTCACTACTGTTCTCGCAAACCTAATCATATAACCTGTAACCAAAACCCACAGAACAAGGATACAACACGCTAAAGAGTAACTTCTAATCACTAAATGTTAGCACCATTACCTGCTGTTAGAAAGAGATTACAGACAAGTTGGCTCAAGTGAGGGCAGACCTTGCTTGTCACAGGATCTCTAGAAATACCTGGATGCCTCTGCATGTGATCTGCTGGCTTCCAAATGTCAGGAGGTCAGAAACTCCCTGTGCATCTGCAGGAGGAGGAGAGTTTTAGCTAGTTTGGTGCTGGGTGCTACTCCAAGGACATCCTGCCCAGGGAGCCTAGAGCAGAGTGGATTTTAGATGACCATGGCCTGCACTCCTGTAACCAGCAGGTAACAAGGGGGAAAAAATGAAGCACGGACCAAAAGCAGGAGATAGGCCCTAAGAAAACTTAATGTAACGCCACCAAATGGAAAAAAACAAAACATGCTGATCAATACCCAGATGAAGTATCTTGTGAAGCCTTAGTTATTAATTAAAACTGTAGAGGAAATGGTATAATTTCTTTCCCAAACAATTCTTCCATTGCAACTGCTGACTCTTGATAAAGTCTGTCCTCTCTGGGGGGTTTAGGGGGTGGGTAGGGACTGCAGCTAGAGAAGGAGAGTTTACCGCTACAGATATGGGGAAATTATATTTACTTTGACATCTGCTTGTATTCGTTAACAGCATGCATTTGTAGACATATGCATGTGAGAGATCAAGGTTAAACTGATTATGGGAAGAAGCAGAAAGACAGAGAATCTTTTTCAGGTTGGAGACAACTGGATGCCCTCTGTCTTTTATGACTACCATAGAGATTGAGAGGGCTGGAAATAGGGTCTGGTGTGCTTAGGGAAGAGGCCTGAGCTAGAGCTGGACGTGGGCTGGCCTTCAAATCCAATTTGCACCAAAATTGGCTGGTAGGATATACAAAGCCTTGTCCAGGGACTTTCAACTTGCACAATACTCTGTCCAGGAACCCCCTCCCCCCTCTACTTCAGCTAGTAGCAGTTCTAAAAAGAAGCCATTGCTGAGACAAACGTGGGCTGCTCAGTAAACAGTGCATGTTTAGCTGAACAAGTCCATCTATCTCTCTATCCATATATCACCAGATCTCATCATAAAGTGCAAAAATTATTAAAATGCATTCAAACTCGCATCCCCCTCAAGTTGCAAATAACCTTTGTCATTAGGGAGAACAAAGTTCTAATGTTATTAAACAATATCAATCTAGTAGTATTTCTCTCTATATAAAATCCTATTTGAAGAGATTTACATTCATGCAATCCTTAAAATAATATAACATATTCTTAATTTGCATGCAAAACATTGTCTAAGTCAATATGAGCTCCTGGCATATAAAATCAGATTATTACAACTCTCATTAGCAAACCCCAGTTTTTGTTACTTGAAAGTAAACAGAAGAAAAACTTATTTTCACCTGTTCAAATTTTATACAGCATTACAAAACAATGCACACTCAGCTTTGACCCAAGAAACACCTTAAAACATTAAAAATTCATCAGTCAGAGCTGGTGTTGTATTCAAGGAATGCTCCTCCAGTTTGCTGCTGAGCTTGGATTTGAATAAAATGCCCAATGTTAACAAACAATACCCACGTTTGGCACTTTGTGTATTAAATTGATCAAACAGATTTTAGAAGGCACAATGCACAATTTGTACAGACCTGATTGAGTTAATATAATATCAGCAAATTTTACATCGAAATGATTCTGTTTCTTTTCTTTGTGTTTAAAACCAGCACAGATTACAAATTTTAATGATCTGAAAATGTTTGGTATACAAAATCATGCTTATTTCAGTATTAGCAAAAACACAAGAAATTTTTCAACACAAACACCCAGCTGTGTCTATTTTAAAAGCAGTTCAATGACAGCTTGCACTTATGAGCATGCAATCAGCTAATTTCGCTTTTTTTTCTTCTGTGTTAATCAACACTTTCCTTCCTGCATATCAGAGTACAAATAGTATAGTTACTCCACATCAGTAAATGTTTACGTAACCTGTCCTTTCCCAAGAATCCGGTTACACCGAATCATTTCACGCTAGACCGACTACGAAAACGTACCGGGCCGTCCACCTCAGAGGGAGCCCTGTGTGCCATTATAAGTGGTGGTGAGAAGGGGGGCTATGGGGGGAGAAATGGGGAGGAGTAGGTGGAGAAATGGAGAGAGGGCGAGGAATGGAGGGAGGGGGAAGGGGTGGAGGAGGGAGGAGGGAAGGAGAGAAAAAGAGGGGAGGAGGGAGAAAAGAGAGTTGAGGAAAAGTAGGGAGTACAGGCCTGAGGAAGGGAGAAGAGTGGGAGGAGAAGTGAGCAGGAAGAGGAAGGCCCACAGATCTCTCAAGCAGGTTTGCAAAGCCCATTAGCTCATCGGCTGGGTGAGAAATCCCGAGCTTAGAAATCTCTTTGAGGCCATGTCACCATCAACGCTGATTGCTGGAACCCTTGAATTTTTTCCACATGTAAAAAGAGTTTTAAACTAAAGAGATATATAGATATGGGGAAATATACACACAGTGAAAGGATATTTGAGGTTAGTCCAATATTCAGAGTTTCTTTATACGTTCCTAATAGATGAATATTTTAAAATTCACTATGTGTAATTATCTATTATTCTCTCCAAGTGTATCTTCTCTTTCTGTCTCAATTTCAAGGTTGGGGGTGGGGAAGCCAAATAACCCTCTATTATACTAAGTATTTGTCGATTGCATTGTGTTAGAATTTAACTTGAATATTACACAGAGGCACTTTTCCTCCTTCCGTTTTCTTAAATCCCAAACCTGCCAGGAAATTTAACTGAGAGTTTATCAAAGCGAAGAAATGCTTACACTTTATTTACCTCACAGAGGGGAAAGGTGCTTTTCCGTTATGCTCCTCCTCCACTGCCCTCTTCTCTTTTGCTACATCCTCGGAACAAACATAAATTGGGGTATGTTGCATGCCCATGTGCAATGAAAAACTCTTTGATCAGTGTGCTCCGCACTAAATTCCAATCTCTGGGAAATGCTGGGCCTTAGCCCTGCCCCTGGCCACGGGATCCTTTTAAAGCCCCCCGAATTGCAATCTTCCCACTCACTCCAACCTTCAACTGAACCTCCCTGTCCCAAAGCCAGGGACGCTGAGGTTGCGCGATCCACGTTCCCAAGGCTCCTAGGCGCCTTCCAACAACACTCAGGGTGGGCAAGGACTGATTCAGCGCACTGATATTTCAGGACCGAGGCCCTCACAAAATAAAGGCATTTGAGAAACGGAAAGAAAAAAAGGAGTGAAAATAGGAAGGCTTTAAAAAAAAGAAAGAAAGAAAGAAAGAAACCACGAAAAGGAATAGACGCCTACCCTTATTTTCCCTCCACTGTCAACAAGCAAAATGAAAATATTTCCAGGGTGATCGCTGGCGTATACTCGCTTCCAATTCGGATTAGAAGCTGAGGATTCGCCGGAGCGGCGAGAAGAACGACACCGAGTCACCCCTCGCGGGAGCGACGGTCTGAAGCGGGAGAGAAGGGGAAAAGAAGACACACACATACGTAGCATGTGTTACCTGATTTATTTCGAGAGTGTTTGGTACTGTTTCCTCTCTGGGCACCTCTCATTTCGGAAGGCCAGCAGAGGCGCCCACCACTGAACGCTCGCCGCCGCCGCCGCCAGGGCCGCAGAACCGAGTAAGTAACCCCTGTTTGGCCCCGCGCTCGTCTGCCCACTTCCTCCTCCTCATCCCACCGTTCCCAAACCTCTCCCAGACCCTCCTCCTCCACCCACCGGACACCTCTCCGCGCACGCACTCCGGAGGGCCTCCGCGCCCCCAAATCCAGAGCTTCGTAGGATTATTACCTAAGAGGGTCACAGTTTTCCTAGGGCTCAGAGATGCCAGACCTAGGCCTGCAGGGCCGACTCGGGAAAGTAGTGCCTCGCCTCTTCCTCCTCCATTTCCTGCCCTCGCCTCGCATCCTCGCCCCGCACTCCCACTCTTCCCTCTCCCTCTCCCACCGCGACCACCGCCACCAGCAGCACTACCACCACCACCGCTTTTAAAAATAAAATTGGATACAAACTTTAATCAATAAGAGCAAATATTGACGCTGAAGCGCCAATGACCCGATACAATGAGAAGGAAGCCGGAAATGTGAGCTATTTGCCCTAGGAGGGGGATTTCGGTTGAGCGGAGCCCACGGGGTGGAGGGGGTGGCGGGGGCGCCGAGAAGGGCCGCGGCGCAGCGTGCTCCCGCCGGCGTATCCCTACGCGGCTCCGCGCGGCCGCGAGGGCCGCGGCCCGCGGCGAG